CGTCGTTATGCGGTGCGCTCGTTAAGCGAGGCACCACTGTATAAATAAGTAAGTAAGTAAGTAAGTAAGTAAGTAAGTAAGTAAGTAAGTAAGTAAGTAAGTAAGTAAGTAAGTAAGTAAGTAAGTAAGTAAGTAAGTAAGTAAGTAAGTAAGTAAGAAAGACGGCTAGGTCATATATGATACAGCAACAACCAAAATTTCAAAAGTCTCAATGGTGTAGCCCTTTGGTCAGCAACAGTACAGTGGTGCCCCACAAGGTGATGTTAATCCGTTCCATCGAAATCACTGTTTAGCGAAAACATTGTCTTGCAAAAAGTGTTTCCCCATTGGAATGCATTGAAATCCGTTTAATGCATTCCAATGGAGAAAATAATCATCATTTTGCGAAGATCGCCCATACAGAAGCCATTTTGTGAAGCGCCGATCAGCTGTAAAAATTGCTGTCTTGTGAAGCATCAGTCCCAGGGTGGAAAAATCTTACAAAGCACGGACTGAAACATCGTCCAGCGAAAATCACCCATAGGAAACACTGTTTTGTGAAGTGCAATGGCGATCACAAACACTCATCATCATGCAGATTCGTTGTTTTGTGGGGTCATTGTCTAGTGGGGCACCACTGTACCACCAGTACCATAGAACCGCCAGACTTACTGATCTTAAAAACCACAAGCACAGGGATGGTCAGTTCAGCCTTTAGCAGACAACATTTCCTTTAAGCCTCAAGCTTCCTTTCAGTGCAGCCAAGTTTACCATCAGCCTTCCAAGAAAGGAAAGCAGTACCTTTGACTTTCACTTGCTAGACACCAATATTACAGCCCCTCAGACCAGATTGGCCCCATTCTTTAAAAACTGGACTCAGATCACTAAACATCAGTGGGTTCTATCCATCATTCAATTCGGTTACCAATTAGAATTTTCAGAACTTCCTCCAACCAGTTACATAAAAGTTATATCCTACGACCCAGCCCTAGAGGAAGAAATTTCATCACTGTTACAGAAACATGCCACCCGGCGCGTACCATCAAGAGACACTGCAAGAGGATTTTACTCCCATTACTTCGCAGTTCCCAAGAAAAACGGGGGCATCAGACCCATACTAGACCTCAGGTTGTTAAATACTTACCTTCATCCAAGGCACTTTCACATGGTCACACTGGAATCAATCATCCATCTGTTATGACAAGGAGATTGGTTTGTAGTAATAGATTTAAAGGATGCCTATTTTCATATATCCATTCACCAACGACATCAAAGATACCTATAATTTTTCTTCAGTGATACTGCTTATCAATTTTGCACCGAACCCTTTGGGTTGTCTGCCGTGCCAAAATTTTTTACCAATTTTTCCCATACATCAACGAATGGCTGGTAGTGGCTACATCTTTTCAGAAGGCTATACAAGACACTGAATTTGTTCTGCAAACGCTGGCAAATCTAGGCCTAAAAGTCAACTACAAGAAGTCTCACCTGCAACCAACTCAGATAATAGACTACATAGAGGCGCAATTGGACTCTACTCGTGCGTGAGTGTTTCTTCCTCACGAATGTGTCATCAAATTAAAAAGAGCACTTCGTTCGTTTCACCCTCATGCTACAATATCTGCACACCATATGCAACATCTCCTAGGTCTGAGGGCTTCAACTATGTGTGCCCTTCCTCACACGAGGCTGAAGATGCGCTCCCTACAGGCATGGTACCTGTCCCA